ACACACAGGGCAATGAGCCAAAGGAAACCCCATTCCTCTGGACTCCACATTCTGGTGAAGGAAGACTGAAGGAACCAACCTCCAACATAACATATCAAGTCAAAAAAAAAACAGTGATGGGGCAGAGAAACAGGGATGGAGAATGTAATGACTGCTGTTTTAGAGTCAATGATCAGGATGGGCTTGGGTTTAAGCTGCTGCAAAGGAGCACAGAAGACTCGCTAGCTATACATCCAGCAGGTCCTGCAGTCTTGACTACAGTTTAGTACTTCCTGGCTTTTCACTGGAGGAAAGGGTGGACTACAGTGTTAATTACAAACAGGTCAAAAGAAAAGAAAAGTACAAAATCTTTTTCCTTGACCAGAAGGAAAGCAGTTACTATGTACTGTGGCCATGGCATTGAAGAAATAGAAAAAGCAACATTCTAAGTACCAGAGCGTGAAGAGAAACACAACAGAGAGGAGAGAACAAGAGATGGTAGAGGTTTCACTCCCTGTACTGCTGAGGCCTGCTGGGTGGCAGGTGGGAAGCAAAGATTTAAAAAAGGACAAGGATTGGAAGGAGGGGAAGAGGAAAAGGTCTTGGCCTAGTCCCCACCTGTTTTCTATGTTCCTAATATAGCAGGGTACTTAGTTGCTGAAAAATAAAAATAAAAGAACACCAAGTTTCTGAAATGCACAAAAGATTTCTAGATAGACATTTTCTGAAATTTTCTTTTCTTTCTTTTTTTTTTTTTTTGCCAATATGTACCATAGGTTTCAACCAGCTAACTTACTACTAATGTGATTATGTGTGGCTCAGGAGTAGAAGGCTATTAAAGGAATGTGCTCAAAGTCAGGCATAGAAGGTTCGTAGCCTATTTCTACCATTTACAACTATGGAACTATAGGTAAGTCACTGGCTTAAGTCCCTTGTTGTTTATAAGATTAAAACAGAAAGAGTAAAAGACTTATGATACTAAATTAATAAACATTCATTCCTTTCCTTAAACAGTTCCAGTATCTTGACTTCTGCTCTAATACCATCAGTGTTGGGAATGCTCATTCCACTGTTAAATAACTGATTTTATAAAATTTTAAAAATTGTACATATATTCCTCTGGAAAAAAAAATGCACATGTAGTCAAAATCCTTCTTAAGGCATGAACAGGCAATTCACAAAGGAAAAAATACTAACTGCAAATAAAATGGAAAACGTTTCAATCTTAACTCATAATCGAAAAACTACAATTGGCCTTGATTTTTAAATAATACCATGTAATATAATTGGCTATTAAGAAATAGGCACCCTGTCATACCCTGATGGTCAATGCACTTTTGTCATCCTTTGAGAGAGACAGAAAATATGAATCAACATTTTAAAAATGTATATTCCCTTCCATCCACCATTTACTCTTCTAAGAAATTTCCTGAGAAAATAATAAGTGGATGTTCTTGACAGCATTGTAATGAAAGACTGGAAAGAATGAAAGTCCCACCATTCACATAAACTATAATATCACCATAAAATGTAAAATATAATCATTAAAATGCTTATATTAGAAAGACATTTGCAATGCATATGAGAATTCAAAAGCTAATTTCTCTATTTTACCGAGAGCTCATAAAATCATTAAAAATAAAACTATCCAATAAAACCATGAATAAAGACAGTTTACAAAAAAAGAAAAACAAATGCCCCATAAAGATACATTGCGCAACCTTATTATTAAATTACAGATTATATTGAAATACTATTTTTCACCAATTAAAAACTGTAGCATCTGCGATATCCAGGACTAGAAAGGGATATTGACACAGGCAATTTCATATCCTCGTGGTGGGAGCACATGTGGACATTACTAACATTTGCTGATCCCAGGGCTTCATCCATCTCTGACGTCCTTAAAGCTGGGTATATATAAACAGGAGTAGTCAAGACCACAAGTTCCAAAAGGGTTCACATCACAGATTTCACTTACTATATGACACAAGAATGGTTTAAACTCATTATGTCTTTCTTAATGTCTTCCAGCATAAAACAGGGATAATAACAGTATCTACCTCATAGGGATATTTTGAGAATTAAATTCTAGCATAGTGCATGGCACATAGTATTACCAACAACAATAGAAATCACTGATCTTACTATGTAGCAGGCACTGTTCTACGCATTTACCCATAGTAACTGATTTTATCACTCAATAAACAGTAGCATTAGTATAAGAATATTGCTGCATTGCTTGTAACTGCAAATATCTGAAAACAACCAAATTGTCCATCAGTAGTGAAGGGGATAGTTCAATGAAAGTATACAATGGACGTCTATGTGGCTGTTAAAGAGAATGAGGTAGACATGCTGACAGAGGGAGATTTTTTAAAAATCGAGAAAGACTATCAACTTTGTTTTTAAAGTCTAACAGTATGTGTGTGGTTAAGAAATGATGAGTGGATCACTTGAGGTCAGGAGTTCAAGACCAGGCTAGCCAACATGGCGAAATGCCATTTCAACTAAAAATACAAAAATTAGCTAGGTGTGGTGGTACATGCCTATAACCCCAGCTCCCCAGGAGGCTGAGGCAAGGGAATTGCTTGAGCCCAGAAGGGAGAGGTTGCAGTGAGCCAAAATTGCGCCACCATATACCAGCCTAGGCAACAGAGCCACACCCCATCTCAAAAAAAAAAAAAAAAAAGGAAAAGAAATGGGCTCTTGAGCCAAACTATCTGACCTCATTTCCTATTAGCTGTATGGCTTTGGGAACTGTCTTAAATACTTAGCCCAGTATCCTCATCTGTAAAACAGGATTAATAATAGCAACTACTTCTTATGGCTTTTCTGGGGATTAAAGGAGCTAACAGGTAAAACAGTCCCCCTGGCATATAGTCAGAAACCAACTAACGTTACTTGCTTTATTACTAATCGTTTTAACATGTCACATGGATTGAGAGATAATGAGCCTTCATATTTTCTTTATACTTATCCGTATTTAAAAAAATAATGAGAGATTTGTTTTTTGAAAATAGAAAATTGTATTTACTCATATGAGAGATGTATAAACATGTCATATGAGAAACGTTAGTACAAAACAGTATACACAACCCAAAGTCATTTTTATTAAAATATAGTTAATGTTATGTAAATAAATGTACATTAAACATTTATCTATGCACTAAAATGTTACCAGTTGTCTCTCTGGGAGATAGATTCTAAATCATTTATATTTTCTTCTTTTTACTTATCCCTATTTTCTGATTTTCCTAAAATCAACACACATTACTTATGCAGTAAGATTTTAACTGTCATAATTTATTTCCTACCATTGAAGCTACAAAGGAAGAGGTTAAATTGAGAGGCTTCCAATGATGTCACCAGAGATGGACTTTAGTAAAAACAAGTAAACAGTACATGTTTTACTGAGAACCCATATGTTCAATATCATGACACTAGCAAGGAAAACAGCAACTGATCATCAGCAGCTAAGACTGCCATTCTCCATTGGGCCAGGCTCCCACCTGACTTCAGGGAGGGATTTAAAAGCCAGAATCTAGCCCCAGGTAATCGTAACAGGAGCCAAAGGAGGTAACACAGCTCAGAGCTGAAGCTTGCTGAAAAGTCCAGAGAGCACCCCTGGCAAGGCTAAAGGCAACACTCCACGTCCACACACTGGGTTTCAACATGTTTTCACAGAAGCAAATCCATAACAGACTCTGAGTGAACTGGGAAAGATAACTGAAGCATTCAAAATACTTTCTGAAAATCAATTTGCACTGACTTATCTTAAAATGTCCAGCTCTGAGTAAGCAAGAAAGGTCACAGGATTTTGTTCAGATTTGCAAGTAGAAAGGGAAACATGAGGTTATACTCAGGAAATCCTTTCGCTAAGATTCAAAAAATCTGAAAAATAATGAATTATAAAACATGCACATTTCAATTTGCCTCTTCTCTGCTTAACATCTCTCCATAACCTGAGACAGCTACGTCTACGGTTGGACTGGACTACAGGCAACAAGCACAGACACAGTAACCTCAAGATGGGATTTACAGCGCAGGGATGAGGAGGAGCGAGCGACAGGTATAGAATGTTCCCACACCTCAACATTCAGGCTGACACTGCTTCAGAGTACTGCTTTACTGGTACCAATTCTGAGATAGAGCAAAGCAGACATACTTCTTTCTTTATCATCTTCTCTGTCTCCATCTCTCAATCCTTCTCAATGACAATAACTCATCTCTCTTTCAATCTCTCTCCCTTCCTTTCTCCCACCCTTAACCCTCATACCCAATCCCTTATCACTACACTAAGGCCAGCAAGAGGCCACAACCACAGAAGAGCTTCCAGGCAGCAGTGAAGCAGTTCAGTCTCAAAGAAAGACAGTCAGGAGTCCAGATGCCTACATTCCTTCTGAAGTTTGCTATATGACATCAGTATAATCCCTTCACTGCTGTGGGCTTATTTTCTCATCTGGAGGATGAATGGCTAAGAAAAGACTTCTGAGATCTTTTTCTGCTTTAAAATTCTGTGATTTCACAATACCTGAATACAGTCACTAAACAGGAAACCACCAGGACACTGGGGGGTGGTCAGCATATAGCCAACTTTATTGTATTTTTCACTGCATGTTTCCAAAATATCTATTGCCAAGAAGTATATCCAACTAGACCCTGGGTCCATGTTTTAATTTTTATACACTGTAATTAAAAACAGAATGACTTGCTTTTACTTTGGATTATGTAATTACTTTCTATTCATAATGAGCAGCTCTTACATGACGCCAACTGAGTTTTCTCTTAGGCAGCACATTCTTAATCAACTAGAGAACTTTTGGCATTTGGATTAACAGAATCAATAGTATCTTTCATTCCAAAAAAAGAAATTGCTGTTTTGATATGGTCTGTACAATAGTTCTTCCAAGAAAAATATTTTTATTATTTTACTACCAATATTTTATTACAGCTTATACATGAGTGAAGCATTTATTTTGATAGTAAATACATCACGCTCTTTAAAATAAAAAAGAATATATTCTTCTTGTTAGAGCTCAGAGTTGAGGCCACTGACTGGCCAATGAACCCGCAAGTGTAGATAGTGTGCTATGCAAGGGACAAGTTTTTCACTAAAGCCACAAGAATCTCTGGTCCAGTGAGTGGAGTTTAACAGAAATTCTCGCTACAACTAAAAGTAAGAAAAGAAAAAAGAATATACTCTTCTACTGTAAAATCTACTTATGCAAAAGTAGTTACCAGGTTCTTATTGCAGAAAGTAGTTTTTGTTTCTCCTCTGCTGTGGAAACAAATCTTCAAATCACTGAGAGGTGGAACAGTATCCTTACATAGAAATCAGATTTAATCTTAAAAGAATTAAATAAGAATCACTCATTATACACTGATCTATGTTTTAGCAGATATTATTAAAAAACTCAAAGGTTTAACAGGTTCTCTACCTGCAAAGAGTTTACAATCTTACATGGAAATCAAATGCACACACATGATAAATGCTACTTAAAGGCCTGCTGCATGCCAAACACTAAGGAAAGTACGAGGAATGTGAGGGAGACTCCACCTCTGCCATAAAGTTGCTCACAAGCTGGTAGAAAAGCCACACCTGAGTAACCCAGACACTGCTAACCTCCCAGGACCACCTCCACTGCACTTACAGTGGGAAGTCCGGTGGCTTTCTTAAGAATGTGGTGGCTTCTAGGGTAGACAGACAGGGAAGGAGATGGAGGTAGCTTATCTCATTGTCACCTCTTGTCATTTCTCATCTCCTAGAGGTATTCCCTCTGTGTCAGGTGAAAGTAGCATCTAGCTTGGTTCGTTGGTTGGTTGGTTGGTTGGTTGGCTGGCTTGGTTTTATCAGTCTTTATCTTTTAATTGGCACATTTAGAACAAACACATTTAATATAATTACAAACACATTGGAGTTTACATCTACCATCTTATTTGTGCTATTCATCTCATCTGTTTTATCTTTCTCTCTTTTCTTGCCTCCTTTTGATTGCGTTTGGTTTGTATTATTCCCTCTTTTCCTTCATACATACACAAGTTTAGATGTTATACACTCTGCTTTTAGGCTTTCATTCTCCTAGAAATTATGATAAATATATCCAACTGACCAAAGTGTGAAGTTAATCAGTTATTTTGCTCTTCTGCCTGATCTTAGAACACTTTAATACTGTTTACACCCTTCACCATCCCCACTCCTAATTCAAAACACGGAGTGCATCAGCCACATTGAACCTAATTCAGTTCTCTGAACTCTTTCCACAGCTTCCAATCTCTAGTCTCTGAACTTGGCTGCTACCCCTAACTGGAATACCACCCTCTTCTTCTTACACCTCCTTCCCAACCTGGCTAAATCTTTTACACCTCTCAGGTCCAAGTTTTAGAGAGTTCTTTGCACCTCTGCTCCCTGATCCCTGCCTCTTTCCCCAGTGAGTTTCCCTTGGTTATACCTATCTTCCCTCCTAGACATTACGCTACAAAAGTCAATGACTGTTGGGCACCTAAGCTGTAACATATAACAGTCCACATGGATACTGCTAACCCACAGCACCACATAATGGATTCTCAATAAATATTTGCTGAATGAAAAGATGAATGAAATATGGTGGTTTCAAAATATGGAAATCAGGAAACAAGCAAGGAAGGTCACAGATCACCCCCCCAACCACATAAAAAAATACAAAGTCCACTCATTACTGAAGCAGAAAGACTACCATGGTGATTTAAAGAGTACAGGCTCCAGTGCCAGACTAAATGAATTCAAGTCCAGATTCTATCACTTACTAGTGGCTGACCTTGGACAAGATACTTAATGTCCCTCTGTCTTTGGAAAATAGAGAAAACCATAAAACAAACTCCTCAGATTGTTACAAGGATTAAGTAAGCTAGCACTTGAAAAGTATTTAGAATACGTCCTGTTAAGATTCTGTCTATACAAGCATACTCCAGAGGTTGTATGGGTTCAATTCCAGACAACGACAATAAAGCGAGTATCACAATAAAGCAAATATCACAATAAAGTGAATCACACCAGTGATTCACAGTGAATACAAAAGTTGTTTATACTGCGGTCTGTTAACTGTGGAAGAGCATTATGTCTAAAAATAAAACAACGTCAATGTACACATCTGGATTAAAAATACTTTATTGCTAAAAAAAAATACTGACACTCATCCAAGGCTTCAGTAAGTTGTAATTTTTTTGCTGGTGAAGGGTCTTGCCTCAATGTTGATGGCTGCTGACTGATCAGGGTGGTAGCTGCTGAAGGTTGGGGTGGCTATGGCAATTTACAAAATAAGACACAAAAGAAGTTTGCCACATCGATGGTCTCTTAAGACAAAAGATTTATCTGTAGCATATAATGTTGTTTGATAGCATTCTACCCACAACAGAACAAATCTGAAGTCATTCCTCTCAATCCCTACCCCTGCTTTATCAACTAACTTTATGCAATATTTTAATATTTTGTTGTCATCTGAACAATGCTCACAGCATCTTCACCAGGAGTAAATCCCATCTCAAGAAACACCTTTCTTTGTTCATTCATAAGAAGCTACTCCTCATCCACTAATGTTTCATCATGAAATTGTAGTAATTCAGTCATATCATCAAGCTCTACTTCTAATTCTAGTTTTCTTGCTATTTCTACCAAATTTGTAGCTACTTTCTCCACTGCAGTCTTAAACTTACCTCTAAAGTCATCCATGAGGGTTGGAATCAACTTTTTCCAAACTCCTGTTCATGTTAGTATTTTGATGCACTCCCATGAATCACAAATGTTTTAATGGCATCTAGAATGGTAAATTCTTTTCATAAGGCTTTCAATTGACTTTGCCCAACTTCCATCAGAGAAATTACTATCTATGGCAGCTACAGACTTAAGAAATATATTTTTATTTAAATAATAAGACTTAAAAGTTAAAATTACTCTTTGATCCATTGGCTGCAGAATGGATGCTGTGTTAACAGACATGAAAACAACATCCATCTCCGTGTAGATTTCCATCAGAGCTCTTGGGTGACTAGGTGCATTGTTGAAGAGCAGTGAGATTTTGAAATAATTATTTTTCTAAGCAGTAGGCCTCAACAGTTGGCTTAAAATATTCAGTAAACCATGCTGTCAATAGATGTCTTGTCATCCAGGCTTGATTTATAGAGCACAGGCAGAGTGCTCTATCATAATTCTGGAGGGCCCTAGGATTTTTAGAATGGTAAATGAGCAACGGCTTCAACTTCAAGTCACCAGCTGCATTAGCCCATCCAGAGTGCGTTTAGAGAGCACAGGGAGAGTAGATCTAGCATAATTCTGAAGGGCCCTAGGATTTTTAGAATGGTAAATGAGCAATAGCTTCAACTTCAAGTCACCAGCTGCATTAGCCCCTAACAAGAGTCAGCCTGTCTTTTGAAGCTTTGAAGCCAGGCACTGACTTCTCTGTAGCTATGTAAATTCCAGGCGGCATCTTTTCCCAATAGAAGGATGTTTTGTCTACATTGAAACTCTGATGTTTAGCCTCGCTCATCAATCATCTTAGCTAGATCTTCTGCATAACTTGATGCAACTTCTACATCAGCAATTGCTGCTTCACCTTTATGTCATAAAGGTAGCCTCCTTTCTAAAACCATATGAACCAATGTCTGCTAGCTTCCAACTTTTCTTCTGCCGCTTCCTTACCTCTACTTCTCTCAACCTTCACAGAATTGAAGGCTCGCTCTGTATTAGGTTTTCTTTGAAGTGAATGTTGTAGCAATTTGATCTTCCTTTCAGATGACTCAAATTTGCTCCATATCAGCAATAAGGCTTCTGCTTTCTTATCATTCATGTATTCACCAAAGTAGCACTTTGAATTTCCTTCAAGAACTTTTCCCTTACATTCATAATTTGGCTAACTGTTGGTGCAGGAAACCTAGCTTTTGACCTGGCTTAAACACGTCCTCCTCATTAAGCTTAATCATTTCTTTGATTTCAAGTGAAAAACATGCAACTGTTCCTTCCACTTGAACACTTAGAAGCCATTATAGATTTATGAATTGGATTAATTTCACAATGTTGTATCTAGTCATGGAGCAGTCAAAACATACAACATTTATTAAGTTCTCCATCTTGCATGGATACAGTTCTTGGTGTCCCAAAGCAATTACAAGAGTGGCATCAAAAATCACTGAATGGCCAGGCACAGGGGCTCATGCCTGTAATCCTACCATTTGGGAGGCCAGAATAATTTTGTCAAGAATAATTTCCTAAACTTGAATAGAAATATGAGCTTTTTCAGTTAAATATACTCCTAAAAATAGCATTTTCTTCTGGGATTTGACTACTAAAAGGAGACATTTCAATGAAGTCAATGGCAATTATCAGGAAAAAAAATCATTTTTAAGTTGTAATGAGAACTTTTCTTTCTAAATATTAAAAAATTAGAATGATGTATTTCATTTTCCTAGAAGCCAATTAAATATTTCCTGTTTAGTTTGGATATTGATGAATACTTTTTTTAATGGACACTTTCTAACTCTAAATTAGTAGTACTATATTATAATTACACTTTATTATCAAAGTTTGCTGTCAGTATTCTATCTCACTTTATTACTCAAAGTTCTATCTAAAGAGCAGGATTACAGTTGTATCTAACATTCCTAGGACACAAAATGTAGGGTAGCACAGCAATAGATCCTTAAATACACATTGGATAAGGATATAACAAAACCTCATTAATTTAGATTAATTATTCAGGATCAAAATGAATTTAGGAGTTTTATCTTAAAAAGAAAATAATTTTGATGCTTTCACATACAGAGAATAACTGAAATTGGGTTAATAGTAGAGGTCTTTGGAGCAATTGCATTAATGAATAGATATAAATTACTGTAATTAGAATTTCAGTTATAAAATTTTCAAAGGCACATAAATTGTTTTCACCCCTTGCTGTTAAGTTTTTTACTTGTATTTGTTTGGGTTTTTATTTTGTCTTTGCTATCAAGTACTGGGTACTTCATATGAGCTGCACTGTGTTTTTGATTTAATTCCCGAGACACGTTTGCAAGGCCATTTTTGTATCAGAAAAATACACTCAAGGATCAGAGAATTCAAGAAGTTCTCTCTGGCTTTTTCTGCTTCACTACGCATTCTTATGAAGTCCATCAGCTCTTTCTTGAGATAAAATAGACAAATCAGCAAA